TCTAATTTGAAAAAAAAATATTTGTTTTTAATTATAATACAAATGCTTCTGAATATCACCTTGTAGGTTGACTATTCCATGGGAAATTATATAAAAATAATGCAATTCAGGGCTCCTATTTTCAGAATAAAATTAATATATTACCAGTTACGAGTTTTCTTAATTTGGGAGTGTATGTAAAATTTATTTTTGTTAGAAAATAATCTGATGATATACATTTTAAGGGCCTATGCAGAAACTGTGGATACAAACTTCTATAATGCTTAAAATATTCGATTAATTCTTTTCCCCTGGGCTTTGGATAATACATGAAACTGACAATTAGCACAGAAGTGTCAAAATACTTGATAGAGATATTGAATCATCGGAGTCATCTGTAAAGTACTTTGCTGGTGCTTCTTACACTTTCCCATAAATTTACTCAAATATATTTTAGGCAAAAAGCTAAGGCATTTAGAGAAATGGGTGAGGCTATCAAAATATGTTGTTGTTTTAGTGTGCCTGAAACCGGTTTTAAATGCAGTTAAATCTGCCTGCCTGTAAGTCATGCTTTTCTCCTTACCTCTTCTGCCTTCTTGCAAAGATTTGGTAATGGTTATAATATTAAGGTGTCCCTGCCCCTTCATCTTTCATTAGCTGGAGTCCATAAGGACAGATACTAACAAGCTCATGTCTGCTTTCTTTTTTTGGCTTCCTTTGACTACAGCAGACAGCACCCTGGAGCCCAATGCCATACACTTTGGTAGAATGAATGGTAAGTAATACAGAGTGAGGTTCTATGCCCAATATACAAAGTGAAAAGCTTTAAGAGAAAATTGAACTTTGAAAATTCTCTAGGCCTTCCAGATTTGAGGGATATTTCCATTTCTTTATTCAAGCACCAGATACATCAATTTACTTATGTTTGTATGTTATAATTTGTGAGAAAATATTTTAGATATACGAATCATATTCTCAGCATACAGGACTGAGATAACTGAAGGAATATTAAAATTATGCTTTATATCTCAGTACCTTTCAAGAACAATTAGGAGGATGGTAAGTATCCACATTCATTAAATTATAATTGTCTCTTTCAGCCACTCCCCAAGGCTTGGAGACCTCTCTCTCTCTCTCTCTCAAACACACACACACACACACACACACACACACACACACAATCACACACAGTGCCACTGGAATTCAATTCTTCTAGGCTATGGAACTGAACCCAAGATAATTCCCTGTCCTTGTATTAAACTATGCTGGAACCAAGCAAAATTAATTTAGTTGCTTACTCCAGGAAATACCTGCTTCTAGAAGGTAAGAGTATGAACCAACTAAATGGATTACTTATCAAGACTAACTGCTTCCTGATCAAGACTTGCTTTGACTCTTCCTTCTATGTAACCACCAATGAAGTTATGATGTCTTAAATGCTACCAAATTCTGACTAATTTCTATTTGAGAAAAGATCCCCTTAAAATCATTCAGTTCAGTCCCCTAAAACTCTACAAACACCTTGCCCTAATTTCCCATTTTGAGACTATTAAGACTCGGCCAAGGTTGCATTCTTCCTCACTGTGCTAAATCTAATAACTTAACTTTCAACAAGTTTTTCTGGCTTTTTTGAAGAATCAGTAATTGAGAACCAAGTATCTCTGTGATATGTCTCTACCACATCAGTGTATATGAAATTCCATCCTTCTTCATTTCCCAACTATATGGACTTGAGCATGTGAAGTACCTTCTCCTAACTGTCCACCGTCAGCTTTCATACAAATTGGCTACCGATTTTTTTTCAATGCCAATTTTGGCTGGTACCTGGCCTGAGCCCCCAAACATGTGATGAAGCCCTAGTTAACGATCTTCTTAACCTATCTTAACAATTAAAGACCCTACTTTTACAACTATCATTAAGTGACTAGTATAAATAGAATTTATATTTGACTTAGTATATGTTTGAATCAATTACCTAACACTTAGTAGTTTTGTAAAATTTAGGACTAGAGAACTTTCCTAAGCCTCAGGTTCCTCAGTTATATACTGTAAAACATACTAAATTAGCATTCTGTATGTGGATGTATTTTACGAATATAAAGTATCTAAGATGTACTATTTAGTTAGTAGTCTCTCAGTGGGCTAGAATATTTTGTTTACTACAGAAGCAAAACAAGATTAATGGCCTTGTGAATTTGGATTAATAAACTACCTTGTTAACTTGAGCTACATTCTTTGTAGCAGACAAAATATAGCTCATACAACAATCTACAGCAACAATTTGAGTGGTCAAGAACCATTTATTCAAATTTTTCCATCATTCAGGACACTAATGCCTTATTCTCCCAGCTCTGGCTAACTGACAGTTGGCTACTGAAACTCTCATTAGCATCAGAGTGTGAGAGTGAGGGAGGGATGTGAGTGGAGATAAAACTCCATTCTGTATGTGACTTCCTGTTAGCAACTGGGAAATACTTGTTGGGGAGCAGACTTTACTTTTGCAATTATCCTTTCCTCATGCAAGGAAAGGCTAAGAAAGGCATAGGCTATAAATATTTAACTTTATGGACTGTGTACTATGACATCAAATGGCTTCAGAGGGACAGCTATGCCAAAATGTATTATAACTAACGTCATTAATTTCTGCCAGTTGGGGCTATAATTTTAACTGTTAAATCTATGCCATTTATATGTACATAACATGACCTATATTTATATATTCTTCATAAGTGTAAGTATGTATATATTTCATACACATATACTTGAAAGAGATGGATATTTAATGTTAATTTTTCTAAGAGCATATGCTTGTTTTGTCTTTAGAGTAACATAAATACTTAGCAGTCACTGTGGTTTAGCGAGAGAGAGAGAGAGAGAGACAGACAGAGAGAGAGACAGAGAGAGACAGAGAGAGGTGGAGGCTTACATTTTCTTTTCAGGCTGACCTGAACCTGACTTTCAAATTGAAATGGATAAAAGATGGAAAATGGAAAAGCCCTAGATATGGTAGGGGCCTTTTTAAAAAGTTTTTTAAATTCTCCATCTTTAAGTGACTGAAAGAGGATTTCCAGTAAATAAGAGTTTGATTCAGCCATTAATATCAAATGAAGCACCTAGGGAGGTTTACATAGCTGGAGGCATTATTCAGAGGCAGAACTCCTCACTGTTCCCTCAGGGCACACATTGTTAACAATCAGAGGCAGTTAACAAGCTCTATGCTGTGTTCTCCCCAGGTTGCAACTCCGGAAACTTATGAGAAGCTCTTCAAGAAATGCTTCATTAGAATTCCTCACAGTAGTCCAGCTTGGAGGACACAAAGGGCAAATTCAACTGTGACCAGGACTATATATAAGAAAAAGTTTAGTGATTAAAAAAAAAAAGAAAGAAAAGAAAAGAAATCACTCCTATGGCTAAAGCTAATCTCACAAAAATGCAGTGACTTACTAATAATACACATCTAACATTCCTTTATTCATTCTGACTCTTTGTAAGAAAGGAATAAGCTCACTGAAAAACAAACTTCCATATTATTTTATTTATTTTGAAAATATATAGTGTGGTTATAACAATCAATTAATGCTAAATATGGCAATTTTACAACTAGTGCTTTAAAACTACTAGCTTTTAGTAATTCAGCAGTGAAAGAAGGTATGCCCATTTCTCAGTAATGCTAAGGGTCTTGGGCAGTTCTAGGAGGTCAGAATCTACTTCAAGGCCATAGCAGCTTGAATGGAAGGGGTCCTATACTCAAGGATCAATCAGTAGTGATCCCATGCTCAGGCTGCCCTCATCTTCCCTTACTGTTTCTGAGAAACTGTCAAGATCTTTGCAGTATGTAATACTCCATGGAGAAAACCTAAACCCAGCTTTTAGAAATAAAGTAAGCAATTTAATTAAAGTACACCATTAAGAAAATAGACAAACCACAGACTGGAGAAGACTCACACTACACTTATCTGACAAAGGATTTGTATCTAATCTGTATAATAAATTCTTACAGATCAACATTAAAGGAAAACTAATTACCACTCCCCTCCTCCCCCACGCCCGGCAAAGGCACTAGAATTGTGTGGATGGGTTTTTTTGTATGTGTGTCTTTCTTCATTTTTTTTTTCTTTTTAGATTTGTGTAGATGTTTTTAAAAAGAGGATATACAAAAAACCAGCAGGCACATGAAAAATGTGTTAATCATTATTATTTGGGGAAAGCAAATTAAAATATGCACAAGTGGCTAAAATCAAAGACTGCCAATAGCAAGTGATGACATAAACGGTAGAGCTAGAGCCCTATAGACAGCTAGGAGCATAAAATGGCACACTATTTTTGAAAACTGGAAATTTCTTGCAAATGAAACACATTTCTCCAATAATTACACATCCACTTCTAGGTATTTACCCAAGAGAAATGAGAATGTTTTTCAAAGTCTTGTACAAGAATGGTTATACTAGTCTTATTTATCGTAGCCCCAAAATGAAACATAACATGAATATCCATCAATCAAAAGATAACTCAGCAAATTATGTTATATTCATACAGTGAAATGATACTTAGCAATGAAAAGGAATGCATTAGTGATGCACACAGCAACATGGATGAATTTCAATAACATTATGTTGAAGAAAAAGAAATGGAATGTGTATACACCCACACTAACACATTTGAATCTCAAAAACATGCTAAGTATAAAAGTAGTTGCCTCTGGAGGAGGTTAAATTTCCCAGAAAGGGGCATGAATATAGTCTCTTACCTCCTAAATGGTATGGGGGTATAATTTTCTCCACATCACCACGCAAGTTTCTGGGTGTCAATTCAACCCTTTCTGACACCACCTAGAAACAGCACCAGATCCCACAGGTTAAGGGCTCAGGCCCACAAGATTACCCTCCGCTTCAAACGCCAGTTGCAAGTCCAAGTTGTTACTATATTTCTGACCTACTGGCTATAAATCAGAGGTCTGCATGTCTTGGGTTCCACTGATTGGCTAGAGTTGCTCACAGGTCTGAGGAAACCAGTTTACTCACCACATTCCCAGTTCATTATGAAGGATATTGAAGAACATGAAGCAATAGCTGGACAGATGAGCAGCATAAGGAAAGCTTTGTGGGAAGGAGCGAGAAGATTCCCTTTCCTCTTTGAGTGCGCCACTCTCCACGTGTCCACCAACTCAGAAGCTCTCCAAACCCTTTCCTTTTGGGTTTTTATGAAAACTTACTTAATCATTGGCCACTGGCCATTGGTTCAACCAGCTCCTATCCCCTCCCTGGAGATGGAACTGATTCAAACCTCTAATTACAGGTTTAGTTACCCTGGTAACCAGCCCCCACTCTTCCAGCCTTCCAAAAGTAACTATTAACATTACAAAAGACACCTTCACAGCTCTCAGCACCTAGGGAATTTCAAGGGTTTTCGGAGCTCTGTACCTGAAACTGAGACAAAAACCAAATATATGCTTTTTGTCCTAAATCACATCACAGTGGCATTTCCTTGTACCTTTGTGTGATTTATGTCTCTCACCATAATTATATTTAATGATCTTTACCATTCCTGAACAGTTTATATTCAATGGTAATATTCTTTCTTTATCATTCTTGAGTAGTTTCTGAGACACTGAATTTTCAAATCAGGGAGAATTTTAAAAAGTCTTACCTTCCCCGTTCAAATTCTGTCACAACAAAAAAACTGGGAAAGAAACCCTACATAACTTTTAGAATTAAAAAATTATGCTACTTTCAACATAACTATGATATCTGTTTCCCTCATTTATATTTGCATCCCCATTTTGTCATTTTAAAATTAAAGTGTTATACCCAGATCGCAGTATCCTCACCGACCAGAGACCACCAGGGAGACCGAGTCACCCATGCAAAGGCAAAGGGCTTTATTACGGGCTTAAGCTCGGGCTCACAGATTTCACCAGCATATGGGTCCGTGCTGAGAGCCTCAAACAAGGGCAGAGTAGGGTTTTTATGGGGTTTGAGGCGGAGGAGTTACAGAAGTTGTGACATGGGAACAGTGATCCAATCATAATAATTCAACATCATTGACAGCGGGTTTGACCACACATATTGTCTAGAGTATTCGTTTCTTTTGGCGGGATCCAATTACAACATTTAGAGTACCTTTAATTTCAACCAATCACAGAGCGAGCCTAGGGTCTTGTTCGGCGACTAACAGGTTAACTTTAACATAAGGTAACAGGGTCCTATCTATAGTTTCTATCTCCAGGCCTCTCCCTTAGTAATGTGGAGGGTTGTCGCTGGTCTTTCCTGATTGGGTGTTGCAAGGGTGGTTTCTCCTGCCTTGGGCAATGTGTAACTGCCTGATAGTTTTTTGTATGCTGAAACTCAGGCCTTCTAGTTCAGAGGGGAAACTTAAAGCCTGTCATGGAGTCAGTTTGCTTTAGACGTTTAAACTTGTGGCCTTACGAAAGTACTAAATATATTTGTAATAAAACCCATTTAAGTGTGGTAACCTTAGTTTATAGTAACCACAATCGAGATGTTGATTGATGAGAGGACATAGGGCTAGCTGACCTGCAGCAAACACCCAACCTCCACCCCAAGGTGAGAGATGCATGCCTGAGGCACTCCTGGCTGCCTGTGAACAAAGGAAAAGAGAAACACAAAGGGTTAACTGATAGAGATCATAGTCCTACGGGACCTTAGTCTCCATCTATTTACAAATATCTTAGTAAGTCACAAGAAAAAGGCAATCTTATCAATAGCCTAATCTCCAGAAACCTATAGACTCCCTTTTCCTCGAGCCCCAAAGAGCCCAACATCACCTCTCCATATTGATATGAGGAACAAAGGCAGAAGGAAAAGGCATATAGAGTTAAATTTCCTTATACCCTGTAGCCCATTGACAAATACTTGAGGCAGGCAGAGTAAAATGTTTCTCTAGGAACTCCCTACTGTCTTAATGTATGCAATGTGTAAATTATAATGTATTTGTGATTTTAATGCATATAATTATAGTGTTTATAATGTGCATATTTCATATATTAATACATACAAACTTTTAGAGTGTGTATATCCTATTTACATTACTATGATAAAAACACAAAAATAATGGAGTACATTCTTGATTTCAGCCATGTGTTCCCTCATTCTATAAATATTGGAGGGACTGACACGATATGAAAGCTCAGAACTGTGATGATGATTGAAAAGGTTCCAACAATAAAGGTGAGTGATACTTTGGGAAGCACAAGATTAAACCTTTCTGTTTGTGTTGTCTGGCTCTTGCCCTATAATCCTATTCACATGCTCTCTCATATGTAAATAACTAGATAAACTCTTAAATAGATTTGAAGCAATTGTCACTCCAGGAATAAATGGGATAGATGTAGAACAGGAAAAGAAGGGATAAAGTGCCCAGCTTTGTTAAAAAAGGAGACTGCAGAGATGAAAGAGCATGATCTTCGAAGTCTGACCTGGAAATTCAAGACAAAAATTTATGTCCCTAATTTTATAGCTTCTTCACATTATAAATAACATTAAAAATACTCGTCTCTTAAAGGTATGAAAATGAAATAAGATTACAGTATTACCAAGTTTATATTTAATAAATGACAGCTCTATGATTCTAACAATAGGTAACCTAACAGCACAAGAAAACAATAAAACATATTCAGAGAAGTTAAAAATGACAGAAAGCAGACAATTTTGAAGAGGACAAAATGGCATTTGTATCTAAATTAGGCTAGTTAGATGGAGGCCTTCTCTGAAAGCTCAAACTTACTATAAAGAATTTAAAGATTTCATTTATAATAAGAATATCCATAACAATTTTATCATGTAGTTATGTAAACAAAAACAGTAAGCACCCATGTTACTAGTTGGGAATTTGGCAATTCTTTGCTTTATTAACATGTCTTTTATAATAATTACTTAAAAATAATGAAGTATATAAATACATGTGAATAATGCTTAGCAAAATTTCCCTGTCTATGTGCATAAAATACATGTTAAAATCATTCATTTAGAGTTCAATCCTAACTTGTTATTCCAATGGCTCATGTCACCAGTCAAGTGTAAGTATGAGGTATGGAGGGAACTCATATCAATGCAACTGCATCAGGGAGAAGGGATGATCAGAAACCAGGGAGGAAACCTACCTCTAGGAATAGATCTGGAACAAATGTACCAGATTCAGAAGCATAGCAAAAAAGCCAGGCAATTTAACACATAGTGATCTGTGATACATGAAGTAGGTAAGTAAGGTTTAGTAGGCAATCTGGGTGACAGCTGAAAGTTTGAGAGTTTTATGACTGATAATTGTCTTACATGGATTTTTTTCCCACCAGTGTCTGCTAATTGAGAGTTTGATACCAGGAGTGAATAGAAAGTTTAAATTTAAATCAGAATTCAAATCACAGAGAAGGAAAAAGACAAAAGCTAGTGGCTCTTCTGAGTTCTATCCAAAGAGGCTATGGTAGATGATAAAAAGGAAAGCCACAGGTACTTCAGAATGGTATTTTGGTATTTCTAGGAGGATTGGATGTCCTATGAAATGTGGTTAAAGATAGACATATAATAACCTAGGTGGTTGGTTGAATATAGGAAGTTCTAAAACTCAGGAGTAGACACATTTAACTTTCTCTAGGCCAAGGTGTGGACCATTCTTAAGCAGTGGATCCCATATTCATGATTAAGTGTGTGAACACTTGAAAATTTTTTTTTAATGTTTATTTATTTTTGAGACAGAGAGAGACAGCATATATATATATATATATATGCTATAAATATACATATATATGCTATGTGTCATTTACATGTATTTTAGTTTGTTACTCTTACAGAACACATCAAACAGATGAATCTCAGTTGAGCAATTCAGGGCTAGGCTTCAAGGGTAGAAAGTGTTTTACATTGATGAGGTGTATGGGAGTATTTTTCAGACTTTATAATGAGCAGCAGAAAAGTTTTCATTTATCTGATGACAAAACAGGACAAGGAGTTATATTTGGGTACTTTAACTTTGCATAAAGTATGTGATCAACTACTTTCAGTGGGACACATCATTTAAAAGTGATTACAATCACAGCTGCTACAATGATGAAGGTTCCATAAGAGTTCTTTTTGAGGTATATAGCATGTTGTGACATTTTGCAGAATAGGTTTTTACTTGCTTTTTCATCTTAAAAATTTACATTACTCATCTATATCCCATTACTCCATTGAAGATGGAGATTTATGTCTTAGAGCAATGTATATATTTTGTGGCAACAGGCTGGAGAGTGACAGCAGGCTAGTACATACTTTTATGGGAATGGTAACACAGGAATGGATTGCAAAGCAATTCTCAATCTTCTGCAAAACGCAAACTTGGTAAGCTTGCAAACAAGACAAAACTACAAATTCTGCCATTACATGTAAAAAATAGCAGATCATGATAGAAATCCTAGCTATGTTTGATGGTTGTGATATTTTCTTAAATCTGAACAAACGTGAAAAACTCCTTAACTTTGACTTTATCCATTTTTTTCCCCATAAATTATAAGTGAAGAAAAAGAGGTGGTCAAGAATAATATGTCCCAGTGGAGATTAAAGAAAACAACTCTTGTCCATATACTGGTATAAGTGATAATACTCAGATAATTTTATTGAAAGTGATCTATTTAAGTCCTATTCTGAACTGTGTGGTTTCAAAAAATAACACACAGTCAGTATGTATTATGAGTTATCTTTCTATTTAGTTTAGATGGGTTTCTGTAGCCTATATATAAAAGAAATGAAATGGTTATACAGCAAAAATTCAAGTGTGGGAGAGCTAGCAGTTCCTGATAGTAGGAAGGAGGCCATGAGTTCTATCTACAACGGATTTATATCCTGGATGGAGTGAACCTAGAAGCACTCTTCTGTTATGAAAGCAAATTTGTATGAAATTCATCCATTGCCTCAACAGTGATCAGCTAGCCACAGGACTACATCCAGAGATGTTGGATGTAGCAGAAATTCAGTTCTGAAGTAGTAACAGTCATTGAAATTATTAAATACTTGTAATGTTTCAGGCATTGTTCTTTAACATAGAACTTTACATATGTTATTTAACATTCATAGTAGCCTCATGACCTGGATACTTTTTTTTTTTTTTTAATGTTTTGTCTTTTTCTGAGAGAGAGAGAGAGAGAGAGAGAGAGAGAGAGAGACAGCTTGAGCA